TAATAATAATAATAATAATAATATTACCAAATTTGGCGGCCATTATGAAAGAAACGCCCGGCACCATATAACAAATACTTCTTTTTTTTAATTTGACGTTTGTCAAATTCGATTTTTCGGCACATTTCGCTTGCATAACCACTCTGTGTTTGAGGAATTTAAAAAGAAATCATTTATAATCCAACGAGTAAATAGTAAAACACACTGATTACGAGATATCGCTCTCAGAAAATTCCCCGATTTTGGGTATGATTTTGTTTGATATATTTATCACTGAACCAAACTGCATTGGTTTCTTTTGCATTTTTTTTAGGGTAAAACGTTATATTATCCCTCAACGCCTAATACTGCAAGAAAAAAACAAATTTTGGTATGTAAACCTGTATGAAGCCATGACGTCATAGCTTTTATGGCGTCATAATTGGGACCCAAAATGGCGCCTGGAAATGAGTTGTCGTAACTTTCCCACAGTCTACTCACTCATGTGCTCATCGTTGCATACCAACTATCGTTGAAAAAATCAATTTACGTCGATTTTTGAACATTTTAAAAGCCGTAGTTCGATTCGGCGCCCAAGAAAAGATATAAATATACACCAAAAACATGGCAATCAATCAAGTCGAAGCGTTTTGGCGTAAAACATCTGTTTAGGCGAGATGACGTGTTTTTGGTGTACATGAGTAAGCGATAATGCTACCTGACTAAAATAACCCCCCCCCCCTCTTGCATTCGCATGTAGTCATACATATCAGTCTCAAAATAATATAATATATTGTTAAATTATGCTCTTTTCAACTCCCCCGCCCCCGCCGCCGCCCCCTGCTCAATGAGTTATTTTACTTTTATTCTGCCATCTAAATAACTCTATACCCATGACTGGTATACCAAGTTAAATCCACATCAAAACCCCATTTGTCGATAAGTGTATTTATAATAATCACTTGAACATCCTTGGAGAATTATATCTATTTAGTGAATATTAATACCAAAGAAAGAAAACAACTCTAAATTCTGAATATAAAATCATCAAATTCTTTTACAGATCTTATTGTGGAAACCCAAAAGTTATATGTCACCATTGCCTTTTTAATCACATTTTTGTTTTTAATGTCAAATACCAAACCATCTCTAATATTGTTTCATTATATAGAATGCAGTGTAATCCTAAACACTAAAGATTTGGCCTGAAAATTTGAAATAATATAGAGGGATCATCAATAATTAATAGTAACATTCGATAATTATAAAAATGTATTATTGTAGGATGAAATCAACCTTTATTTTTAAACATTTAGTGAACATTTCGAATGTTAATTCCTCTTTTATATAAAATGGTTTTATTAATTAATCAATTTTTGTTTTACAAATTTTTAATTTTCTCCATTTTGTTTGATTTTTATGCTATATTTATTTTATCTATCTATAATTATTTGCCTGTGCTTTATCTATTAGTTCCCATTTATATACTGTAGAAAATTTTGAATTCCTAATCTGTTAAAGGGACTATTTTTTCTTAAAAGTATTTCAATTTAGTGCATTATTAATGTCTTTAGTGCTTGGTTTGGTTGATATTAAATTTAGATATATTTAAAATGTATGTTTTGGGACCATGGGGTAGGGATATTGTGAACATATATATATTATATTCTCAATTCTTTTTAAGGTTAATTGTAAAAAAAAATTAAATAGCTTTTTTTGAGGGGTGGGGGGATATTGTTATTATTGAACACAATTTTATTAGTATTGAAATTAACTTTTTTGATTAATATTCCAAATGTCTCGGTGCTTTATTTTTCAATTTAAATAGCTACTTTTTATTTAATAATTGGGAATGGGGGGTGGGTATTTTTTCATTGTATAACACAATTTTATTAGTATTGGAATTAACTTTGTTTATTAACCTTCGAGATGTCTGTATTGGTATTAAGTAGGCATTAATTTATTTTTTCATATCATTTCATAAAATTATTATGTCATTTATCAATAATTACAGTTTAAACAGAACGAATGGAAGGGGTTGCATTCGAAAGGTTGTTATACTGGATATAAATTGGTAAAATACAACACAAGTTTTTGTTATACACAAGTTTGTACGAAACAACACGAGTTTCAGAAATTTCAACACAAGTTTCAGAAATTTCAACACAAGTTTCAGAAATTTCAACACAAGTTTCAGAAATTTCAACACAAGTTTCAGAAATTTCAACACAAACAAGTTTCAGAAATTTCAACACAAATAATGTATAGATTTTCACACAAGTTTTGTGTTGTTTCAACATTTAACACAAGTTTTGTGTTGTTTCAACATTTAACACAAGTTTTGTGTTGTTTCAACATTTAACACAAGTTTTGTGTTGTTTCAACATTTAACACAAGATTGTGTTGTTAAATAGAGACACCTAACTTGTGTTGAAAATAACACAAGTTTGTGTTGTTTCAACACAAGTTTTTTTTCAGTGTATAATTATTTAGTCATGGGCGCAGGGGCGAATTGGGGCCCGGGAACCGGCTCGGACTCCCGTGTCGGAGCGGCCCCTTTTACTGATCGCGGAGCCCGGATGGGGGGTCCAGGGGCTCTCCCCCATTAAATTTTGAAAAATTAACCCCAAATATGCGATTTGGTGGCATATCTGATTATAATCTCTGTCAAATAATATATCTCATCAATCGATTAATTTAGGCCAAAACCCCAACCTGCAAGTAATTTACAACCATCAACCTGTGAAATTATCATATCGTCATATTAATTAACGTATTATCATTGTATCGTCAAGACCAGCAACATCAAATTTTGCTGAGGCCTTAAAAATGATTTTTTTTTGTTTGAGTTACGAACCATCGGCAGACGTTTCTGGCGACAGCGTCGGGTGAATCCGATGAAATTTTCGAATGAAATTCGGAATCCCCATCGCAGGATTCCGAATTCCGGCCCACACCCAGCACACTCGGTCCAGAAAGTCTATTATACCAGCCCATTCCAGACCCCAGTGATGGCGTGGCGGCCCGTTAAAGTCACCGGCCACATACAACATGCTATATAATACCCCCCCCCCCCATATACTGTTCATTTTTTGTCCGACCGGCCCTTCGCCCGATCGCCCGATCGCCCAATCCGCCCCTGCATGGGCGGGGAGAGATAACGTCTTACCCCAAACAAATTACAAAAGACACCAGGAAGTTTCGTAGAGCGATATCTCGTCTCACATGTCACTGATGAAACAATATGCCCGAAACACATGTTACGCTAGACACCTTTTATTTAAAGGAACTAAATCGCTAATATTTGGGACTTACAAATTGACACAAATGGGTCGGAAATAATGTAATATGAATGTAAATAAACTGATTCGGTATTTCGCCGAACATAACTGCTTTGAAATTAGAGTAAAAACGGAAACGATTGAACGTAAATCAATTTATATACATTCATATTACATTATTATATGCTTTGCGACCCATTTATGTCAATTTCTAGGTCCCAAATATTAGCGATTTAGCTCCTTTAAATTACACTGATTTTAAGCTACACTGATTTTAAATGTTTTATCTAATCAATTTCTATTTTCGAAAAATTGATGATACAATTAATGATTGATGACCCAATCCGGAATGGCTCCAGACCAAAAAATAATGGAATTTCAGGCATTTATTTTGCCGGCTAGAAGGCAAAAAGGTTTTATCTTCCAAATTACTATATAATTTAAATTTTAATTTTTCACTTTACCCGTCTGCACAAAAAATCTGATTTTTAAAAGCGTATGCTATAGAAGACCAAACGGGACAATATTCATGATTCTTGTTTCTACATTCCAGTTTGAACATTTTAGACACGAACACAACATTCTAAACTAATGATTCTTGTTTCTACCTTCTTATGTCAACATACTTTTGATTTCTAATCTATAGTCTGTATCAAAGTTGTACACATACGCTAACGCCCTCTGGTGTAATAATGTTGATAAATTCATGATATTTTTCTTGACATTTTCATTTCAAGATTTTAACTTCAAGACTTTTTGAAACGTAGAAAATATTTTCATAAGAGTTCAAATTCCAGAATTTTTTTTGATACTTTCAGAAACCAATGAATTGATTTCTTTGTCGTGTAAAATTAAGAAATTATTTTTTAATTTTAATATTTAATGATATATAAAAGTTACCGATAAAACGCCGAAAATGAAACATAAAGTCAATTTTTTGTTTAAAATGTTGATTTTGTGCATTAAATGTTGACATAATAATGTAGAAACAAGAATCATTAGTATAGAATGTTGCGTTCATGTCTGAAATGTTCAAACTGGAATGTAGAAACAAGAATCATGAATATTGTCCCATTTGGTCTTCCATAGTATGCAAGTTAAATATATTTAATAGCGCTTTTATCTGGTGTATCTTTCATTAATTTTATTGCATTTCTATATACGGCTTTGGTTGACACCTGCCGTTTACGTCATCGAAACATTGACGTCATCGAGACGTTGACGTCATATACTCGTGAATGTTTCAATATTAATGACCTCTCACGTAAAAACGAGAATTTTGACAGTAACAAAATGACAAAATATTATTTTCGAAATTAATAAAAAATACGAAACAAATTTGTTATCAAAATTAAAAGCAATGTTTCCTGAATGAAAAAATAAAATAAAAATATAGACAGTCATATGTATTTAGAAAACTGTTTAGGGCTAAAGCCTGTCTTCCTAATGCCCATAATAATAGATAAATAAATATACGCAGGTCAAAACTTAAGAGTAAAAATTAAATTTTATTAATTTTCTTTCTTTAAATCCAGATACCCAAAATTACTGTGAGAGGCAACTAAAATCTATTCCAACTACAGAAATGTGATTTCTCACTTTTTAGCATGTAAAATTCATCAGTTAAAATATTAGGCAGACCGGTTTTTGTCTGCCTAATCCATCGGTCTGCTTAATGGCTATATATATGTGTTTATGGTCCGCTTAATGCCCACGTTATATATATATATATATATTTACCCCTATAATCCGTCATATGTATATTGGCTTTGATCATGTTGTTTTTTAATCCTTTGATCTTGTTGTTGTCATGCATGGTTTCTGAATTGTTGTTATTGCTTGTCTATATATAATTGCTCTACACATTTGTTACTGTACTTGCTTGAAAACGTTGAGAGAATACTCTTCGAAACGTCGCCCAAATAAATCAGTAATTGTTCTTCCATAAGTATGTGTTATAGTTTATTGCTCTATCCAGCTACTAAATGCCTCTAAAAGATCAATATATATATATATACTTTTCATCCGTCTTGGGACTATTCATAAATAATTTCATTGTTAGGGTACCCCATGCAGCGAGTACTGAATGGTGAACTCGACATGGCGCATATGCACGCTTCAGTAGCTTGTCTCGAAGTGTTTTCTGGCTAGTCACGCGGTGCGATAATACTCAGCGCAAGAGTCTATGGGTCTATAAATAGTCATCGCACTTGAAATTCTCAACACATATTCAAAGCCCTGTATATGGCTTTGCACATATTATGCCGTCGCCCCTGTCCGTCCGTCCGTCCACAATTTGTTTGTGGACACTCTACAGGTTACAATATTTATCCGATTTTGACGAAACTTGAAATATAGGTCTATCTCAAACAGATCTCGGTTCCTTCCGATATTGGCATGTATCGGACCATAACTTCATGGATTATGGCCCCTGATTGTACGAAAAATCACGTTTTTAGCTTGTGGACACTCTAGAGGTCACAATTTTCACCCGATTTTGATGGAACTGGAAATGCATGTTTATAACCCAGGTATTTTGGTTCCTTTCGATATTTGCGCATATAGGATCTTAACTTCCTGAATTATGGCCCCGGATTGTACGAAAAATCGCGTTTTTAGCTTGTTGTTCCTCTAGATTTCACAATTATTATCCGATTTAAAAAAAAAACCCAACCCTGTTCTAATCCATAATCTACCCCGTAGTCTCTAAAACATGACGTACCCTGTAGTCTCTAAAACATGACGTACCCTGTAGTTCAGATAGAGTCTCTAAACCATGTTTACACTGTAGTTGGGATAAACCATTATAGTTTTGTAAATAGGAGGTCGATCGTCAAATGAATTTTACGATATGTTAATCCCGAAATGACATAGTTTCTCTTAAAGGCCCAATACCACTCTTGTTGTAACTGAATAATATGTCCCAATCTTTATTCTGGTCAACAAATTGTACTATTTTAGAATATTTCAATTAATTGATGATACAAATTTCATTTTAACACACCTTATTTAAAAATTTTGTAATATTCAACATAATGGTTTGAAACGTCTAACGTAAACCTTTTCAAATGAAAGTTCGATTTAAAGATATTTTCAAACCCTCTGGACAAGTAAAATAGGATGTAATGGATAATTTACACAACAGGTAGGACACTTAAACATCAACTACTTAGATAGAAATATTATTTATTTTCTGGAGCTTTCAAGCCAGCAAGAGTGTTATTATCCCTTTAAATGAATATTTTTAACGCGCTTTAAATATCTGGATACAATAGACTTGGTGGAGAAAATTCTAGATACACACTGTTAACCACCCATAGATGTTTTAATGAAAATAAGTCATACACTATGATACACTTTATTCAGCTCGACGTAAGACTTAAAATGAATAGATACAGCTAGTTTAACTTGAATGTAGATATTAACTATCTATATATGTTGCATATTATATATAACCTTTCGGTTGAATCATAAAAATAGCTTATTTCATGTCTTACGTATTTGTCAACTTCAGTGTGAGCTTGTTCTATTGTTCCATTTAGTCTATTCAGGTTTGTTTATAGTTATGAATTTTCTTGTTTCACTTGACTAAACAAAACATTTTGTAGAAATGTAGGCTTTTATAAATTGAACAAGCAGGGCAGTGACTCTACACCGAGTTTACACTTATTTTAAGTTACACTGATTTTAAATTTTTTATCCATTAGTCAACTTCAATAGATTTCGATTTTCGAAAAAATTGATGATACAATTAATGATCGATGACCGAAAACTGACACACAATCCGAAATGGATCCAGACCAACAAATCATGGAATTTCAGGCACTATTTTGACGGATAGAAGGCAAAAAGGTTTTATGTCCCAAATTATTATTTAAATTTTAATTTTTCACTTTACCCGTCTGCACAAAAAAATCTGATTTTTAAAAGTGTATGCAAGTTAAACACAAATTATTCAAGAGCTAAATCTGCTTACTGCAGGTCTTTCTTTAGGCCTGAAATGTTATATAAACTATTAATTAGACATTTATTAACATGACAACACCATAATCAACTCTCGATGTCATCGGATAACTCCGATATTAAGTGGATTAGAACGGTTAAGCCATATTTTGATTTAATTTAAAAATGGATGAGCCAGACTTGGCTTCGAACAACCAGTACGGTGGTTGCAATTAATGCACACGTCGTGCCAAACCTTCAAAGGCTAATATCGTCGCTCGCAATAGAGTAATTTGAATGAAATTGTCAAATTATTCATTTCATATTATCTAATTTCAAACTATTATAGCAAGAATGGCTAGCTCTTTATCTAAATCTTACATAATGTATCTTTAAATATGTTTTATAGCGCTTTAACTGGTGTATCATTTATTTTATTTTCTTATGAGTTAGGCTATATAACAATAATGTGCGCTTTTTGTTGTATAATAATAGTAAAAAGAGCTTTGAACGTCCACTCGACACAAATAGGTCATTTCGGGACAAACGTATGGTTCAATTTTATTTCGATTCGCTTACGCATAGGTCTTTAGCAGTGGGATTACCCAGAGAAACCCCGCGAGGTTGGACGGTCAAAACTACTTCTTGTCAGGTACAAACGCGGAATCAAAACCACGCCACTTGACTAGAAGACAGACATTCTGTCACCTCCATCTAAATGCAATATAGCGTACCTAACATGGGGTGGGGGGGGGGGGGGCTCGGTGGCTCAGTCAGTAACGCATTTAATATTATAATCTTACTCAGCATATACATGAGCCTACTCATCGCGCTGGTCATACCCGAGACATTATTATTACGAGGATCGATGATAATTTACTCAATTCCATTCATGTTAAAGATGACTTGATATCCTAAAGTGTGGTCGCAAAACTGGCGCTTTATAAACCTGGACCAATAAAATGCACTATATCTTTTCAGAAAACTAGAAACATTGATGGCAAGGAGTAGGGTCGCCTGTCCAACCTCGTGGGTTTTCTCCGGGTCCTCCGGTTTCCTCCCACTGCTAAAGACCCCTACGCGCAAGCGAATTATGTAAATAAAATTAAAAACCATATGTTAGTCCCGAAATGACCTAGTTTGTGTCGAGTGGACGTTAAACCCATTTCTCTCTCTCTCTCTCTCTCTCTCTCTCTCTCTCTCTAGAAACATTGATGTAGAGCAATTCAAAGCCGACATAACTTAAGAGCAGCTATATGAACAGATCAAAGGATATGATAATATTCATCATAAGATTGAACAATATAATAAAATTCTTATTAAATTATTAGATAACCATGCACCGGTTCAAATTAATAAAAGAAAAATTATCAGAACAGATAGAACTTGGTTTAATGATGAAATTAAGAAATGTAAACAGAAGAAAAGAAAAGCGGAAAAAAAGTGGCGAAAACTCAAATCTAGAAATACACAGACAAATACATATAAAATGTAAAAATGAGACTAACAATACAATAAGAAATGCAAAACGTCGCCATGTTATGAACAGTATTCTTAAGAATGGTGGTATTCACAAGATTATCAATAAAATCCTAAATAAAGACGGTCCAGAACAGACTTTCCCAGTAAATCGGGACTCTGAAGTTTTGACAAATGATTTTGTTAATTTTTTCCCAACCAGGATAGTAATACTTACTCTGGCGTGCAACTCTATTGTATTGTCAATTTTGACTTTATAAAAAGGAAAAATACTAAATTCTTAGCACAAGTTTTTTTAACGTTTAGAGACTGCCAAAACAGGATTAGTCTGTATACTCAGTTGTCTGTGTAGTGTATACTTGGATGTGTGCGAGTAGTTCAATACCGCATTCGCCTATACACAAGAAAATTAATTAAATTTTTAGTACTACAATTCATATTATCATTGATTCTAAACGTATACTTAGTATTAGAAAAAAAAAGAAATTCGTATTATTAATCATATGGTGGTCTTTATTTACAAAGTGGGCGGTGGCAATTAGAAGTAGAAAAAGTCACATTACTAGAAACACTATAGTGAGTAAATTTTTAAGGTTAACGTTTACTATTAATTATTTCTATGCTATGAAATTGATATTAAGATTATCATTAGAAAGGAGAACATTCTTAGTATCATAAATATATTGAACAGAATTATGTCGAGGATTATGTATCCAAATAAAGGTAATACTACAGGTAGAGATATGCTTTCCTCTTGGCGTTCTTAATACTTCAGTGGTTAAAGCCCTAGCATTTTCAATACGTATGTTAATAACCCCAAGTGCACAATCAATAAATTGGATCTCAATTATTCATCAAGTCGCCGAATTCTGAGATCGTCGTCTAAAATTATAGTGCATAGTTTTTAGGCAAGAGGAAAGGGTATATTATTTTTAACATGACGAGGATAACATGACTTATCAGATAAATAATAGTTTCTTTGGAGTAAATATCTGTAACGATTCGGTTATTAAGTCTCTTAACGATTTTAATATTAATATCTAGGCCATTTAAAAGTTTGTGCAAATCTGCTATTTGGCCGAGACTAGTTTTCCAAATGAGAAATTTCGCTTCGATGTAGTTTCTGTAGTTAATACAAAATCTGTTTTCAGTTATTGTATATAATTTTGATATATATATTTACTAAAATCAGTGTTATATACTAGTATACCTTTATTATATACCTACCATAATTTATAACCGCTTTTGAAGTCTATAAATATATCATATACTTTTATCCTTCAATATTTATTATGAGGTCGAGGTATAGTGATATCTAATGTTCCAGAAAAGGTAAACATGTACTTACCATTATTTATATACAGAATACGCCACCAAACTTCTAGTATGTCCTACGTGTATATCTTATCTATATCATACCACGAGACGATGTCGGCATGTCACCTATGGCTGATCAGAAACTCGGTAGGACAAGTGTTACACTGAAAACAGTGTTAAAATAGCTCACCTAATTGAGTGTGAAGTAAATATTAAATCCAAATA